ACTTCGCCCTCAGAGTCAATGGACCGCCGGTGCGTCCCATCACCGACTGCTCACAAATTGATCCCTTAAGACAAACACATGACGTGTTTTTCGCCAGTTTTGGTCAAACGCCGGACCAGAACTTCACGAAAATGGCCGCAAATTACCAGAGCATCGATTGGTTTTACCACTCGTCGCACACATGCCATCCGTTTGGTGATGGCATTTATGTCATGAAATCCAATAACTTCCACAAGAGATTTGGTAATACATTTGGACTCAAGAGTCGACGTATCCATTGATGTGTTATCTGTTGTTTCAGATGAGAGCGAATCTGATTTAGAGGATTGGATTAAAATTGAGAGGTTTGGCCAATTCGTGAGGATTACGAACGGGAACTTCCATTTGCTTCTGCAAACGGGTCAGTCCTACCAAATACTGTACATTCATTGACATTTCCATGTCTTATGCCTTACATTGATATCCATTTCCTTGTCTTATGCCTTACATTGATATCCATTTCCATGTCTTATGCTTTTTATTACTCTATTTTGTCGTCCAATATATTTAAAGGCAAATATTTAGTGATTGCATTAGTCGAGGAATATAAATCAATGGACAAATTGAATCCGGATCATATGGAATTTTATAGTCAATTGGAAACAATATCTTACAGTTATCCCAATCAAAATCAACTAATCTTTGGCTGGACTTCAGAAATAACAACAATTAATTCAATAGCCATCCGAACAATTAGTCCATTGCCTAACATTATAGTCATTAATTCAACAAACCTTCAGTATTATCTAATTGATGGCCAACTTAACGCCCAAAATATTATCTCATTTTTGGATCAATTAACACAAAGTCAACATACATTATCGGCAAGTAGTGCACCCATACATGTCTTGTGTTTCCATACAGTATATTATTTACTATAATATAGTTCATTGAATTATCGATGTGTTTGTGTTTGTGTTAGGCTTATGGCGGCGACAGGTTCTGGAACCGAATGCACCGAATGTCTTACGACACCATCACTTCCTTCGTTAGTATGTATTACGGAAACCCTGTCCTAACGATCCTCCTGTTTGGCATTCCCGCCGGTTTTCTCTCAATCATTATATACACGACCTGTTTCTCCGATATTCTCGACGCCAAAGACGAAGACATTGATGAGAACGAAGAGGACGGTATGTATTCTGATGTCAACTTATTTTTAATATGACCCGGATCTTAACTAAATACATTGATCTCTGTTTCAGACGCCAATTATCACGAAAAAGAGGATTAACCCACAAATTGGAGTATTTTTGTTATTACCGTAATTTACTGTATATTTGTTATTATTTTATTTTTTATGTTTTATTTATTTTAAAGAATTCTTAATATTATATAAATTCTTGACATTTTTAAAACGTTTAAAATTGAAATAAATAATTGAAAAAAGACTAGTTTTTAACGGAGTAAAGATTATTTTAAATCGATTACAATCAGTGATATGTCATCTCTGAAGTTACGGACCACTGATTGCGGAAGAGTTAAATAAGTGACGAGTCGTGTATGTCTTTGCAATTGTTGCTGATATTGATCTAAATTGTGATCACTTGAAGGGATTTCTCCCAAAGCAGTCCTAATCAGATGAGTGGCACTATTGGTGTCTTCAGTCAAGTCGTCGAAGCGAGTGATTTCATCGAATGAAGTGACGGCCGGTTTGGCCCTTCCTTTGAGTTTATCAGTAATTTCTACGAGAGATGTGTTCTCTTCGAAGTCGATTCCATTAATGGATTCATTGGATGTCTGTTTGTCCACAGTTTCTAAGTATTTATTAACACATTTAACTACTTTCCTGTTGGCCTCAAAGTGATCCCACAACCCATCCGTTGCTAATATTATAAACTTTCTCTTATTCTCTTCGATGTCTTTAAGTGGCATTACTTCGATCTCTGGCTTACAGGTCAGGTAAGGCGGTGTCATATAATATGATGGTATGACGTGTGAGCCAAAGGCACGGGTCAGACCTAATCGCTTAAGTTTATCAATAGTCCATTTGAAGCTAAAATCTCCGAAAGCTCTTAAAGGCATTAATTGTCCCAAAAGTCTCTCATTTCTAATAATATTGTTTTGTTCACTCTTTGGATGTTCAGAAAGAACTCGTTTTAATTCCGATATATTGTCGCTGTTATGCTCTTTAGATAAGTCTATTGTCTTTACAGAAGTCTTCGTCTTTGAACTATTGTTTAATCCAAGAACTGCTCGACAGTCACCTGAAATTCGTTAACAAATTCATAAAAATAGTTTCAAAAGTTTACTTCTTGTGAATTACCGGTAGAAGCGATATAAGCGGTGTTTTGATGGATGAGCACAAGAGAGACACAACAGCCGCTGACCGCTAATGACAAGTAATAATGGAGTAAAATGTTGGACGAAGACGACAGCAAATTGTGTTCAATCTCTTCGCTCAAGTCATTGTCACACCTGAGGAATGCGTTCTCCAACGCAATCGAGATATCAGTCGTCGGTTTTAACTCTTTTGTAAATTTACTTAAGATTTGTTGTTCCGATTCATTGAGATATTTCTTGAGATACTCGGCCGCCCTGTCCTCATACTTGTGGGTTATGTTGTAGTAAGGATTGGGACAGTAATACAAGTCTTCGACCAAAGAATTCAATTGATTTTTATCATAGGATTGTGGGCTTGGGTTCAATGAGAGAGCGATATAATGGAAAAGTCGACGCGATATGAGGTCAGCACAAGAACCTCCTCCGTGTCCATCAAATACTGCGAAAGCGATTGAGTCGGACAGACATGTGTTGGAGGAATGGCTGCAATTGAAGTGAAACTTAGATATTCTGAGTCTGTCTTCGATGGGATGATTGGACGCCAATTGATTGCATTCAATGTGTCTTATGGTTGATATACTCTTCGAGATCGTCGTCTCATTTGTTCTCAATATTGTGTTCACCTGTTATTCAAACCAATCAAACCATTCATCAAATGATAAGATAACTACAGATAATGTATATATTTGGTCATCACTTGTATTCTTTGCATTTGTTATGTCTTGAGACCAATTCAACAAGAAGTCAATCCAATGCATACCTGTTGAGGGCTGAGGTCAGGAGGGGGTTCATCCGTGTGACCACCGATTGCACTGAAATATGATTCCTGTTTTCTGTCGCTGAAGTCATGAACTTGGATCACATGAATTGCATACAATTGTCTCACTTTCAGTGTTGTCTTCACTGATAGCAAGCGTTCACTTAATTTGAATAGCATTGCGACAATGGATTAAGAGGCAGATTAACCCCTAATCACACAATCGCTCATTTCATCACCTATTCATGGATCAGCTGATCATTGGTTGCATTCACTTATCATTGAATGTTTTTTAAAGGACTCTATGTTTACATTAAACGCATACTCTTGGAGACTGACTGATGGACTGATGGTGTGACTGCGCATCCCTTCCCTATAATATCACATTTTACAACACATTTTACAAACAATTTTAAGTAAAGTTTCAGACTTTGAGGCACTCATCACAAGCCAGACCTCAATTCAACTCAATATTAAAGCATTTATTTGCTATCATATGCTTAATCTCGGTGTTTGTCTTACATGTCGAGTATTAGGTCCTTGAAGTGTGTTATCTCTTTCAACTGAATACCACATTTCCTTTCATATTAAGTGCACACAAAGTGATCACTAAATTTATATCCACCGAAAACATGTCTTTTGCCATCACTTTCTCCAGAAGCAAAGTCTGGAAACTAAATGTTAATAAACTGTGTAAAGTGATGTCCAATAGATATTCGGTCCAGAATCCGGCATTTATTACTAAACAGATAAGACATGCTTCAGGTATAGACCTATTGCTGTACTTATGCTGTACTGACACTACAGTATCATATGGTTTGTCATTTTGATCTCATCTTGGTTTAGACCGTCGTTATAGTGATAAACACGAATGGCTTGCGTTAGACTCGACCCAAAAGGTCGGAACCGTTGGCATCTCGAAGTACGCGGAGGAAGCGCTGGGAGATGTGGTGTACGTACAGCTGCCGGATGTGGACCAACAGTTCGCACAAAATGGTATTCAATTTGAATACAAGTATCGGTTCTTATAGTAAGAGACGATTTGTGTGGTTATGATCACCAAAACAGATGAAGTCGGGGCCGTCGAGAGCGTGAAGGCCGCCTCAGAGATATTCACACCCGTGTCCGGACGTATCGTCGAAATCAACGACAAACTCGAAGATAAACCCGGTTTGAAATACTCAACCAATTGTGGCATTCATTGAAAACTTTGGATTTGAATGAATTTATTTGGTCGACAGGTTTAGTGAACTCTTCGTGTTATGAGAGCGGATGGCTCTTCAGGATTGAATTGTCTCAGAAGGAAGAGTTGGACCAATTGATGGATGAAGAGTCGTATCAGACGTTCTTGAAGTCCATTAGAGAAGAATAATAAAGTGTTTGAATACTTAATCAATAATACATTTTTATTTGTTAAAAGTATTAAAAAATAATTAGCAATAAAATTATACAATTAATAATTGACCACAAAATGTGTGACAATTTGAAATAATTTAAGTGTAAAACCATAACTCAAGCGCTGGACTCATTCGGATTGATTAGAGTTATCAATACATAGTCCTTATCTGGAAATATAAATTAAATCACTTATAAATACATTTTCAAATTAATTAAGTATTTGATAGACAATGGATTAGGGAATGGATAACACATTGGATCCATAATGGATAATGGATCTGATAAGTGATTAAAATGATTAAATATCTAATGAGTCATTAGTAATGACAATAAGAAGTAATAGTAAAAAGTATAGTCAATAATGAGTGAGTGATGGATACCGGGGACGACCACAAACTCATGTCGTTTGGTCTTAATCTTGAGGAAAGTGAGTTCATCGTTGTCTTTGAGGGCCTGTTTGGCCTTCTCTACCATTTGACTGATAGTCACACCGTATGACTGCTGGATATCAGTGCTCTCATTGAGTGTCGACTTTATGACAACGCCATCCGAGTCCACGACAATCACTCCAATCACCCCTTTGTGTGAGGAATGGATCCGCTTTAAGGTGTCGTCGATTTCCGACTGAAATACAAAGAATCCATAAATCAATTCATATGTCATTGAATTGATCTGCAAATGAATGCTTAGTTTGACAACAATTTATGACTTAATTTGAAGTCATATGACGTTATCATGTGATGGTGTGTAATGGGAAGGAGTGGTGGACATTACCATTGATGTGGTACTGGATTTGGTGACAATTGGGTCTCAATTTGGGACAAATGAAAGCAAATCCTAAATGAAAACAAACCAAACATTTGAGTGAAGAGTGAATGCATTGAACGCATGCGTCGCTCAACACATCCCCTATCGATGTGTTTATAAACAAAACTTTGCATTCATTTGAGTCGCGGATTGTGGTCTCATTTGACACTTCCATCGCTTCCAACATGTCTTCGAGTAGAGACCATAAGTCGAAGTCGAAGGACGGGAGACCTAATGGTGGGAGCGATCAGTCGTCGGCCAGTTTTGACACCAAACTCATGGAAGCGCTCAAACATTACGACACTTTGTATTGAATCCCAAACGATGTGCTATTGTTGTGATAACTGAAGACTTGTCTCTCATATAAGCTATGAATCGGCGCCACCGGGTCTGGTGAGGGAGGACGAGGAGAGACCGGAGGACTGCATCCCAGACCTGCCGGAGAACTCAGCCGCGCGAGACTTCTTGGCCAACGCGCCGAAGAAAGGTCTTTGGATGCCATTAGGCAAAGAGGTTAAGGTTATGAAGTGCTGGCGCTGTAAGACATACGGCCACAGGACTGGCGATA